TTCTAGTTTTCTTAAATTCCATTCATATATTCAGTAAATATTTATAGTATCCGTATGATATACCTAACATTGAGGATGCAATGATAGGATGGCCGTTTTCTTTGACCATGTGGGCTTCTAGTCCAGTGGAAGAGTCATTCAAGATGCCGTACAAAGAAATATGAAATTATAACTAAGATATGTTCTATAAAAAATAAATCTAGGCCTAGGAAAGCTTATTATGGCATGATTTGTCCTAGGCAGGGAAGGTCATGAAAGCCGTTGCTAAGGAAAGAATGTGGAGGTAAGTGGGATAACCGAGTGTAGAGGAGGGGCAGAGTGTTGTAGGCAGGAGGAACAGGGTACGTGAGAGAGGGAAATGAGAGACTGTCCAAGTGCCAGAACACCGCTGCAGAGTCCCTCATGATTTACAGCCAGATGCTCACATTACCCCACACACTTTCTCTGTCTCAGACGCTCACAGAGATTTTGCTCAGCAGTTCTAAAAGGGGCCTACTTGCTTGGATTTTGGGTGATCAGGAAAGGAATCAGTGTGATGTTAGCTTGAATCTCTGACTCTGTAGGGTTAGTGAAGAATACATCTTTAAAGAAGTATTTAATTAATAGATGACAAAAGCAGGGCTCCTTAAATCTATTTTCACTCACCATAAAACTACTTCAAAGTTTTATACGGTTATGTTATTAAACTTCTGCCTTCCAGTTTTTAATATACATGTGGCTTGCATATTAAATATGTGATTTATAAAATAAAATATAGGCACATGTTACCGAAGACTACAATTTTAGTTCACGAAAATAAACCTGGTTTATTTTTCTGTTCTAAAAGCCGATGAATATCAGATGTCTGTAAAATGTATACTGATCTAATTTAGGCTTTTAAAATGTATCATCCCTTTCCTTGGGAGAATAAGAATTGCTATAAGGACTTAAATGTAATTTCTTTCTTGCATTATTTATGAGTTTTATTATGAATATAATTGTAGTCTTTCTGATGTACACACTGAATTTGTATTTAATGAGTTAAATTTACATTTAATCAGTTTGTGTGAAAGTGCTTTAATGAGATGTTTCACTTTTCTGTTTAAAAGCAGGTCAGGGCCAATCAGAAGACTGAAGTCTATACATTATTCAATACTCATTTTCTGCATAGCATAATTTTATGATGTATGGCTTAACTAAATCAGTTAATAACATTTCCTATAACTATACCTAATAATTCTCTAAAGTAAACATTTTGCTATTAATATATTGGAAAATTATTATTTTACTTTCTAACATGAAAATTATCATTCTTTTAAAAAATATTATTTTAAATGGACTTTTAGAAGAATGGAGAGAGACACACACACACACACATAAACACATGCACACTCATATAGAGAAACATCAATGTGAGAGAGAAAATTGATCGGCCACGCCCTGATTGGGGATCAAACCCAAAACCGAGGTATGTGCCCTGACCGGGAATCAAACTGCCACCTTTGGTACAAAGGATGGCGCTTCAACCCACTGAGCCACACCAGCCACAGTCTCACATTCTTTTATTTTCAAAATGGAACATGTAGATTAAGACGGTGTCACACTGTCAAAGACTGGAAAGTAACGAACGAGGTCATCGGAGTCAAAACATTCAGATTTATAGACAACGGTAAAATATATCGGAGGTTTATTATTCAGTGTTAAGGTAAGAACTCAGAGCACCTGTGCAGGACATTTTACTTGTTATTTAATATCCACTCCCTCCAAACCATCTCTTCTCTTCCTTTTCCCTGATGACCTTGCTTCATTGTTCCCTGGGGACAAAAGACACAGTAACTGTCATCTGTTCAACACCCAATCTACACACCCCAATTATCTGTGCGCCCCCATTATCTGTGCTCGGCTCCCACTCTTCTTTCCTAGAACAGGGAAGTCAACACATGTTTTCTTAAAGGATCATTTTTACAGCTGCCAGCTGTATTCCCTCCTTCCCCTCCTCACAAGAACGTTGTTTTTCACCTCTTTTCTACAGGGTGCTCCAAAATATGTATACACGCTTTAACAGCTGATTCTATTACATTTTTGAAAATGAAATATAGTTTAATCAGCACTGCCTTTATAATTATTCAAAATGCGTATACATTTTTGGGACACCCTCATTTCCTACCTCATTCCCTCCTTTTCTCTTTAGTATCAATCCTCTCTTCTCTAGTGACCCTTCATTTTAGAGAAGCCCTTCCTTGCCCCCAGATTTACGCTCACAGGTACTTCGCTCTCTTGCTTCTCTGCTTCCCACCCAGGCGCTTTGAGGTGACCCTCTGTGCGTGCTCTCACCTCCCACGGTTCTCCAGTGCACTCCACTCGGTTCAGCCTGTACCGCCTGGATGAGTTCAGTAGGAAGTCCTCATCTTCTCTGTCTCTGAACTGCAATGTCGTCTTCTTGAGACTCTTTCTCTCTTTCATCATCCACGACAGTCCAATCGCCTTCTTTCTTTCTTGTCTCCATGGGAACATAACTCTTACTCAGTGTTCTCATGGCTTCTTTCCCCTACTTTTAATTTATATGGTTTTAAGCCAAAGTTCTATGATGAAGGTGTTTTGTTTTGTTTTTAACTTGAACCAAGACTTCTTCTACTAGTAAACCTCATGCTTTAAATGTTCTGATTTATTGACATCCCCATTGGCATATCTCACTCGTATTGAAACCTCACCCTCACTAGCACTCTGTGCTTCTCTTCCCTGTAAGTCCTCTAGCTGCTCCTCCAGCTCTCCAGCCACCCAGATGCCCATGTCAGAATCTGACAATCATTTAACATACCACAGTCTTACTAAACCACATCCCCAATCCACCACCACAACCTATTGATTCTTCCTCCAAAATAGACCCGGAATCCCTTCTTTTCTGATGATTCCCACAAATAAGAAAGCCAATTTCTATGTTCAGCTTGGTTATGGCAACAGCCTTTTAATTATTCCCCCCTCCTTTAAATTTTGATCACCTTAAATATATTTTCCAAACAACAGCTAGTGTGATCTCTTACAATTCTAGGTTATACTAGTTAGCATTTGGCTTGAAATCTTTCTATGATGTTTCATTTGACAAAAGAAAATCCCAATTATTCAGCATTTCCATTAGGCCTTTCATGATCTAGCCCCTTTCTCCTTCCCTGAACTCATTTGTCTTCATATGTGATTGGGCTAAACTTCTCCTCTTTATATTTCCCTAAAAGGCTCCCCCATCCCCACAACACCCCAACACATCAGGGCCTTTTTGCATGTTGTTCTATTTGCCTGGAATGTTCTTCCTCAATAGTCTTCAGTAAACCATTTCTCTGGAATCACAGGAAATGCCATTTTTGGGGGGAAATTTTTCCCCTAACTGCTTACAATTCAAAATAGGATATTACCCCCTGACAGTGTCTCCTAAATCATAATACTATATTTCCTTTTCAAAAGTAATCATAATTTATTGTAACACACTATGAGGTGATGTGGGAATAGTTGAAATCTCAAGGCTCTTCTGTCACAGTGCTAGTCTGAATTCTGGCTCTATCACTTATTTGCCACTATGGACAAATTATTTCATTTCTCTATGTTTAAGTTTCTTCAGGGATAATAGTAATACTAATCATAGGATATTTGCTAAGAGGAGTGATAAATATTTATAAAGTACATAGTAAATGCAGCACATAGTAAATACCATATAAGTGTTTACACACATGCAAACGTGTGTGTATATGTGCAAGCCCAGTTTACATACTGTCTGAAGGCACAAAACTATCAGCTGCCATAATTCTTAACATATAATATTGCCTGTTAATGTTTGCCTAATGGATTGATGAAAACTGCAGTGTCCTTATAACAAGACTTCATTGATCTTCAGAGGAAAAAGAATGATGCATTATATTTATAAGAATATATAATTACTTTAAAATTTTGTGTTTTGGCTTGTTATCCACCTATTAAAATCATTTAATTATGTTTTTTATCTGAGAATATTTTCAAACTTTTACCTGACCAGCCCCCTATCTTTTAGCAAGTAGGTTTATTGTCCTAATTTTGCAGATGTGACAGTCTAAACCCCAGGAGTCTGAGGGATTTATACAAATGGCAGAGTTAATAAATAATAGGATGATCCTACTCATATCAGTATTCTGGATCTTATTGCAGTTACTTCTATTGTTCTTCTCTTTTTGGGAAATATCCAATGAGTTATGTGAATACCTTTTATAGTGATTGGTGAAATTGGTGATCACTCTTAAATTTTCAGTTTGGGGCATGTATGGTTGGAGTTTATCCTATCCTCTCCTTTCCACTTTGTTGCTCAGGGACACATCACCAATAGCAGTAATTCTCTGCAGTGTTCTCTTGTCTTTTGCTTGCCTCCAGGTTTCACTGAATTCTGTATAGAACCTCTGTAGTGATAGTTAAAGCTACCAGGTGTTCTTGACACTTTCAGATTTCTTGTTTTAATCCCCATAGGAAGACTCTACTCTCAAATTTCAAAATGATGAAACCTCTCTTCCTTTAGCCCAGTGTACTATGTTTCCATCTAGCTCTTCCTTATGAGGCACGAGTAAAATATTTATCCTGCATAGGCATAAGTTTCTCCCTTATCCTGCATAGGCATCATCATATCATTTCTGGATTCTGAATACGTTTCATTATCTATTGGGTTTCTTCTCTTTCTTCCTTTCCTTTTTTTTTTTTTTTTGTAAAAATGCTTATAAAATTTGAGAGCTGGAAGGGACTGTATATAACTCAAATCCCAAATTTATAATCAGGGAAACCAGGCTTCAGGAGGTAAGTGACAGGCTCAGAGTTCCAGTATAACTTCAGGGCTTAGGTGAAAATTACTACTTGATCCTCAGTATACTTTTGTTACTAATCTATTCTACCCTTTTTTTTTCCCCAAAGAGAAAGCAATGCATTAGGATTGAGAATTACAAACAATAAATTCAAAGAAAATTACATGGTTGATTTAAAGTTCATTTATATGTTCACTGTTTTTTCTTTTTCAGTTTAACAGCAATGCCCAGGATGTAAGCTGTTTTCAGCACCTTGTACAAGCAAATGTAAGAAACAAGAAAGTACTAAAAGACGCAGTGAATAATATCACAGCCAAAGGGATTACAGATTATAAGAAGGGCTTTAGCTTTGCTTTTGAACAGCTGCTTAATGTAAGTAGCAATACCATCCCCTTTTCTTTTTCACTATTGAATTGCAGTTGCTGAATTTTAATATCCTGATAGTTAAAGCTCTCTGGGTTAGATAACAGTGCTCTTTTTCATTTGTTTAAAAAGTGGATGTGTCCAGGCCATAGAAACCTTTGTACTACTTTTATCATTAAATTCAAATTTAAAAGGTATACAAAATTCATATTTTCTTGTCCTTTTAGATCTTCTATCATATTTTCAGAATATGTTTAGAAACATATTTATAAGGTAATTTAATTTTGCATAAGCACTTAAAACTTAGTTGGCATAATTAGAATATCATTTATTTTTCCTTCTATCAATTGCTACATTATTTTTTTTGGAAATTTGTTTTTTTAATCATCAAATGGTTGGTGGAAAGATTTTAGTTTTAAACATCTACTTTGGGTATTTTAATTGTTCCTAAATGTACAGAAAGGTCAAAATGGTAGACAGTAAGCTGAGAGGGAAGATAAGTCCCAAGCAGGAATTCCGCAGGGAAGATTCCCCTCAACTAATCACCCATCCATGTCTACAGTTAGACTATTGGACTCGGACAGCCTGCTGCCTGAAACTGTGGATTGTATTTTCAAATGGCTGTGCCATCTTTTTCATTCTGAACTAGTTGAGAGCAGGAGTTATCATTCAGTTTTGTACCTCTCAAGAGACAGTATTTTCACTATGTTTGAGACTGAGGACCTAATCGCTCTGTACCTTGGTTTCTTCTCTTATACAGTGGAGGTCACCATCACATGTACATCATATGGTTGTGGGCAGAGTTGTTTACAGGATCTGACACACAGTAATCCTCATGTGTAATGTAAGCTGCTGGGCTGGTGTTGGAGTTAAGATCATGAGTCCTATAATTAACAACTAGTATATGGCTGGTACAGAATCAGCAGATAATTCCTAATGTATTTGCTAAATCAGAAAAGCCCTTACAGGTGATCTTTTCCTCAAATTTGACTTTGATGTTCCCTAAGTGAATCTTTCTAAACAGGTTATGAGATGTCTGATCAGTTGGTTCATTCATTTGTTCATTCGGCCAATATTTGTGAGTGTCTCACAATTTCCTGTCACAGCGCCAGAGCTGGAATTCTAGAAATACTCCAGACCATCAGCTCTTGAGAAGCTCCAGCATACAGTAAATCATTATCCCAGTACAATGAGTTAGGGCCATCACGGGGCATTCAGAGTGTGTTTCTGGAGCAGCGTGGAGGAGGAACTCAACTTACCCAAAAGGGATTGGGAAGGTGTGGCCTTTCCTTGAAAACAGACTTTTGAGCAGTGAGTAGAATCTAGGTAGGTAGCCAAGAGAGGGGAAATCATCCTATATAATAAAAGGCTAATATGCAAATAGATTGAACGGTGGGACAACTGGTTGCTATGATGCGCACTGACCACCAGGGGGCAGATGCTCAATGCAGGAGCTGCCCCCTGATGGTCAGTGCACTCCCACAGGAGGAGCACAGCTCAGCCTGAAGCCAGGTTCACATCCTCTGCAGCAGCACTAAGGATGTCCGACTGCCACAGGGAGCGAGCCTAAGCTGTCAGTCAGACATCCCCCGAGGGCTCCCGGACTGTGAGAGGGTGCAGGTCGGGCTGAGGGACCCCCCCACCCCACCAAGTGCATGAATTTCATGCACCAGGCCTCTAGTTTAAGATAAATAGAACTGCATGGACAAATGCCAGATGACATGGAACCTTGCGAGAATTACGGGCTGTTTGGCCATGGCTGGGGCATAGCAATACAGGAGCAGTGATGGAAATGGAAAGATCATGAATTGTCAGTTAATGGAGTGTTTAGGAGCCAACCAAATGGTAATGGTATGGAAGTGACATGCTCTAACTAGTGTTTAAGCTATGGTGGGAATCCTGGTGTTGGAACAGTGGTGAAGAGATGTTAGGAGTGACAGGGTAACTGGACCAGGGACAGAGGCTGCTGAGTGGCAAGAGGGATTTGGGTGACTCTAAGTTCTTTTAACAAGGCTACTAAGTAGATAACGGCACAGGAATCTAGATAGAGGGAAGGTGAGGGCAGAAAGAGCTCAGTTTCAGTTGTGTTGACTGTTAGATGCTGTTAGATAAGTAAGTAAGGAGACAGAAAGGCAAAGCAGTTCAGCACTGCAGTTTTGAAGGGAAGTTATATTTGGTAAAAATGCATGTTTGTTACATGATGTATGTTCACTAATAAAAATATGACAACTTCAAACTTTGAAATTCAAATGTAATTGGCCATTAGATTCAGATATATTCTTTCTATGGAAAAGGAATATTATTTTGAAAACTAATAATTATTTATCTCTTGAGTCAGTAATCGAGTTTTCCAGATTGGCAGGTTCGTTCTTCTTCTCAGTGTTGCTCATTTAGCTGCTCCCTTCCCTCTTGTTCAGGTTTCACTTGTGAAATGCTAAGGTGTCTCAAGCCTAAGGTAGGATTTCAGAGGCAGTCTCTTTAGAGAAGCCACATTAGCTCCCAGATTCATTGCTAGTTGCTGATAAAATATAACTGTACTTCTCTTGGCCGCTGGTGCTGCCTTTACCACCATTGTAAAGGAGTTTTAATATGTCTCAGTCATTCCTGGAGTAAATCTCAAATGTTCTGCTTTCCACATGTCCCTTAGGTATGCACTTCTTCATTTTAAAGTAATTTTCCAAATGTCACAGCCTGCCTTATTCACAGTTGAAGCACATTTTGTTATTTCAAACACTTCTAGTCCTCTTATTATCATGTAATGCCATTCCCTGTTTTTCTGTAAATCCTTGCAAGGTTTACCTTGGAGATCACTGAAGCAAGCATCAAATAGAATTAGACATATCATTTTCCTCATAGTAAGCCTTAAATTAAGGTTTGAATTATTCTTCAGGTAGCGTTTCATAAAATGTTACCAAATACATTGAGATGCAATTTTTAAAACATTTTTATTGAGAGCATAGATGCTGCTCTATGTACTGGCCATGCAGGGATATGGCAAAGAAGGTTATGAAATAATATATTAAAGCAAATCAACATATTGAAATAGTTATGTTCTTTATTTTACTTAATTCATTACAAGCCAGTCAGGCATAACTCTGTGACTGTGTGATTGTGTGATTCTTTAGATTATTGCAAATGCACTGAAAAGTTCCTGTGATGTACTTTGCTTTATCAAAAGTCCTGAGAAGGCTGATTCTAGGAAAAATCATGTTGAAAACAAAACATTTTATTTGCATTTTCGTGTGTCCTAATCTCTCTTTCCTGGGAAAGGTTATTATTACTTTATTTGTACCAATATACAAAGATCAGCAGCGCCCGGTGTGCTAAGTTACATTGATATTTGCATTCAGTGGTAAAATAGCTCTGCAACTTTAAGGAAACTAAGTCCTGTGGTAGAAATTTTACTTATCACTTTTATGAGATAATCTTTTAAATACATATTTATTTTGCCCACTTTAAATATACAGATAAAAAAGACAAATCATTGGGGAAATTAATTTTAGTTAAGGGATTTCAACACCTTTCACAAAGTATTTTGATAGTCAAATTTTTAGACAGTTACATTCAAAGACAAGAACCATGTTTGAATGGGACAAATTGTTTTAGTCAGTTCTTGTGTTTTCACGATGCTCGGATGAAAGCTTTAACTGCCAGTATTCTAATGCCTAGTCAATGGGGTGAGATTTTTATGAAACAGGATTTTTTTCATCAATAAAACAAATATTGTTTTTCTTAGCCTGTCCAACAGGAAATGGGGTTTATCTTTTTAAAAAATAAGATAGAGCACTGCCCTCCAACAGCTTAAACAGTGAAGAATAATTAATGATTTAAATATATATATTAAGGGCCAGGTTAATGTGCTGTCCAATATGGTAACCACAATCATATATGCTGTTGAGCATTTGGGATATGCCTGGTCTGAACTGAGATTTAAAGACTTATTATGAAAGTAAAAGTATATGTTATCTGAAGAATTTTTACATTGATTTCGTATTTAATTGATAATATTTTGGATGACCAAGTTAAGTAAAATATATTGTTAGAATTAATTTCAGACATTCTTACTTTCTTTAGCATGGCTATCAGAAAGTTAAAATTATAAATTAGGTGTATCTCCATTGATACCACTAGGTTGGCTAGGGGGTTGGCATTTTGAAAGAAGATGAGCATTCATAAATTAATTTTAAATTCAACACTTAACACAGAAACACACTTTACAATAGTAAAAAGACTGACATTATTGTCTCCGACCTCAAAGAAGCCCATATTCCTAAATTACATTCATGAGAGGGGTCTTTTGGTGCCCATCCATCGTTCTCCTATGATAGACTCTTTTGGGACCTTAAAGTTCAAGAGATTTACACTAGGAATTGAGTCTTTCAGGATTAGAATATGTGTGGCAGGTTGAGAGAACATAGCAGAGGTTATTCTGGGAATAGGTATGAACATTTACAAAGATGAAAGAGCATTGGGTGTTAGGGATCAACTAGGAGTTTGTAATTTCAGCAATGTAAAGTTAATAAAGTAGAATGAAGGAGGGGAGGGAGGAAAAATGTTTGTAAATGGTTTAAAAATATATGTGAATGGGTATGAACAATTTTTATTAATATTGTTTCTGGCTTAAATTATAGGGGGGATGACAGCATAACTATTAATTAATTTAAAATCTATTAATTAACCACTGAGAAATTATGTTCTAGGCACTTATCTAGGCAAGAAAAAGACACTGAACAAAAACAGACAGGACTTCATGCCCTCGTGGTCTAGAGACATTTAATTATGCAAAGCCAACAATGGGCAAGCAAATACAATACCCAATATATAATGCTGTGAAGAAATACAGCCTGGGAGGGAGATTGCAATTTAAAAATGTAGCTTCTGGGAAAGTTCTCATTGATTAGGTGACATTTGATCAAAGACCTGAAGGATGTCTGGGGTGGGGGTGGGGGCTGAAGGGAAGGCTCTGTGAGGGGATGGGCCTGGACTGATCCAGGAACCAGTTCTTAGGATAAACATATTGGGCATATATTTTACTAATTACTTGCATCCTCTTCATGCTCTTTCATATGCTTTATATTTCTACCTTTTATTATGAATGATATACATATATATCTAATCTTTTCTTTACAGTATAATGTTTCCAGAGCTAACTGCAATAAGATTATCATGCTGTTCACGGATGGAGGGGAGGAGAGAGCCCAGGAGATATTTGCCAAATACAACAAAGACAGAAAAGTGAGTGCAATTTTACAATCTTTTTTTTTGTTAATCTTCACCTGAGGATATTTTTTAATTGATTTTTAGAGTGAGTGGAGGTGGGGGAGAGAAGGTGAGAGAAAGAGAGAGAAACATCAATGTGAAAGGGAAACATTGATCATTTGCCTCCCATAGGCACCTGGACCAGGGATTGAACCCTCAACTTAGGTATGTGTCCTGACCAGGAATCGAACCATGCTCTCCTGGTTCATAGGTCGATGCTCAACCGCTGAGCCACAACTGCCAAGCTCATTTTTTTTTTAACAAAGGCATTTTGTGACATGCTACACCTCACGTTAAATGACTCATATCACATTTACTTTTGTAAAACTAATGAACCTCTCACATGCAATACTGCTGAATTTCTGTTAATATATTGTCTATTGTGCTTTAAGGACATGCACTTCTCTTAAAAACACATATCTTTTGTCAATACCAGAGCAACTTTGAAAATTCAGTAATTAGCCCTTAGTTTATATGATTTTTAAATAAATTTTATTTTTATTTAACATAAAAATTAAGATGTTCTTGAAGTTCAATAGTTTCCTTATTTTCTAACATGGGAAAACTTTGTTAAACAAACACATTTTCATCTCCTGGTATTCCTATGTTCTGTAACTACAAAATGAAAATAAATGATGACCAACAAACACTTTTAATTCAGTTCTACTTTTGAAAGTATTTGCATTTTGTTCAAATAGCATTTACATATTTAATTGTTTATGTCAAGGACAATATGTGTGCATATATGTGTGCATTTTATATATTAAAAATAGTATGTATCTGTATACGGGAGATTTTTTTCCACCATCTTCACATTGTTGTGGATGAATTGAAGAATCTTTTCTGGCTTCCTCTCCTCATTCAAACTTTCCAATCTTCCATGCACCTAGTGACCCTGTCTAAGGCATTTGCAGCCCACAGACCCTGATATGGAAGATAGTTATCTATCTTTGTCATCTAAGGATATGTATGATAGGCCAATTCCATACCTGCTCAATTAATATTTGTTAAATTATCAACTCAGAATTTCACTAGCCATATGATCTTTCAAATGACCAATGTTTAAAAGTGAAATTTGATAGCTTTAGATATATACATTTTCAGTACTCTTAAGAAGTCTATATTTGATTATAACTTTGTTTAAAATATACTCTTTAAACAAGAAGTTCATTTGTAGCTTAAAAATACCAAAATTATAGTCATGAAGAAAGTTTGATTAGCTTTTGAAAAAAAATCTGAAAACTACTCTTTGAATGCTATTTTTCTCCCAACCCTCTTGCTTGACACTAATATGGCTGCTAAATGCTTCATTTACAATCATTTTTCATCCACTTGACACCAGAAATCACTCAGAGCACCCAGGTAGGTGTGATGAGGTGCATCCGGAGAACTGATGAATGAAGCTACAGATACACAGCACAATTTACTGAGGCCAAAACGTTTGAGAGTTAGAACAGAATGTTTGGGTTCTTTAGCAAAATGTATTACTCTGGGGGATTATAGATAGGTACAGCTTTAAAACCAAATCCATGTTAATCTCCTCACACAGCTGTTTCAAATTAAAATGAATTCGCTTTCTAATCTTTACCTGCCGCAATGCCATTCCTTAGGGCTCACCCATGTGTACGAGACATCCTTAAAAATGGTGCCAGAAGTAAAATGAACTCTATCAGAGAGTCCAAACAAATGAATAAAGAAAAGTAAAACCAGACACAGAGCTGAAAGATAATTTCCAGGCCCAGCAAAATTAAGATAGTGGCCCTTCTGTAGAATAGCAAAGGGGTTGCTTAACATCACACATTTAAGCTTGTCTTGCCAGTTAGAACATTGCTCTCTGATTCTTAGCTTACTTCTCAGAATTAAAAAATGAAAGGCAGTCAAAACTAATAAAGTGGGTATTTCAAAACAACTAGTAAATGAATGAGAACAAGTGGAAAAAAGCATATGATAGATGGGGAATAATTTTCAAAATAAAGAATGCATAGCTATAAAATTTAATCCTCTGACAATAGATACATTATTTTTTAAATTAAATAAAAAGTATGTCCTAATTTTCTATCAAATCCAAAGTAGCGAGATATAATCTATACCCTATAAAATTTTAAAGCAAATCACAAATGGCTGACTCTGTGTATGTGTTTTATATGGTAACAGTGAATATTTTCAATTTTTCAACAGATGGTAGGGAAAATTATTCATGGAAAATAATTCATTGCCTTCTCTCTTGTCTCTCCCTGGCTACTTCATCAGGCAAGAATAAAGCCTTTAGAATGAATGTTCAAACATATGATAATGAGTGCATTCAGATGTGTAAATTTTTTAATGTGTTTTTATTTCAGAAAGGAAGTGAGATGGAGAGAGACAGAAACATCAGTGATGAGAGAGAATCACTGATTGGCTGCCTCCTGCATGCCCCCGACTAGGGGTTGAGCTTGAAACCCTGGCATGTCCCTGACTGGGTACCAAATGTGACCTCCTGTTTCATAGGTTGATGCTCAACCACTGAGCCACACTGGCTGGGCCAGATGTGTAAAATTATTTAATACTATTTAACAAATGCACTGCTTCTAAAATATCTGTAATAAAACTTTTCTTTAAAAAAAAAAAGACACTTTCAACAGTTTCCAAATGATTTTTAACGTTAGAACAGGAACTATACCTTGTTGATAAAATCAAATATATTATTTTATACCAGAGTTACTGGATAGCTGAAAGCAATAATTGCATTGTAAGACTGGCCCTGCCTATAGAGAGATTATCAAAGGCAGGTTTTGTGCATGTGTGTGTGTGACTGTGTCCTCTTCTTTAACAGGTTTATTTACATTTGTTTCTGAATAAAGTTAATGTTGACAGTTACCTAAACTAAGGAAAATGTTATCAGACTAGTGGCCTGATGCATGAAATTTGTGCAAGAGTAGGCCCACTCAGCCCTGGCTGCCTTGGCCCTCACAGTCCCCACTGCCTCTGGGCCCCAACTCCGCCCACTGGTCTTCTGGAAGGTCATTCCCCCATCAGCCTAATTAGCATATTAACTCTTTATTATTTAGGATATATTTCCTTCAGTCTTGAGTAATATTACTTTATGTATTTTATAATCTTTAATATCTAAAACAAATCTTATGAAAAATGAGGTTAAGTATTAATTAAGCAGACAGTGTAAAATATAGCATAAATATTAGAGTATAGAAACTGCACTTGAAGTAATTTCTAGGTAGAACTGTATCACCTGCATTTGGGATTGCCCATTGTTTGTGTTAAAACTTCATATCAGAAAAGGCATTCCGTTCTCCTTTTTCTGTGGCTGCCTTATTGATAGATGAACAACTCTGTTTACAATATATCTCTGTAGCTGTCTTCCTCACCCAATCTTTCTAGAGTGGCCCCTTCCCCCAGAAACGCCCTTAGCTTTCTCTATGTCAGCATCCTTTTTTCTTTCTGTTTTCTTTCTGCTATATTACCATTTTTAATTTGACGAATGTATTTGTTCACTCTTTAATTTGAACTCCCCTCTATTATAAGGTAGGGTTTCTGTTAATTCATAAGCCAACCATTGAACCTTAGTGGTTCGCACAGTGCTTGAAACACAGTAGTTGCTACATGATTACTGACATACAAGATATCAGTAAATATGCAATAAATATGCACCTGAGGTAAACCATAAGAAATGCATAAATGTCAGGAGAAACTCATAGCTTTGTTCTTTTAATGGGAAGTCGCTTAAAACAATATTTGTCTTATAATTGGAATGTGGAGTAAAATTGACGGTCTATTCTTACACATCATCTTATAAGTAGGGAGGATTTAAGTTTATATAAAAATGATTGTATCAATGGCACTTTTCCATTGACCCTAATCAGTCCAACACATAGTTTTTCATGAGGATTCTCATTATTAGTGTCAGTAAAGTATTTGGCTTTACTCAAGAATAACATCTGAAATAAATCACTATATTGCTTATTTTCTGATATCTCAGCTGACAGCAGTCTTTGCAGAGATACAAATTGCTTGGAAATGCAATGGGCCTGTAACTTATTCTTTCTTTATAAAGTACTATAAATGAAGGCAGAAGGCGGGGGAACTCAAAATTTCTTCCTTATAATCTGACCATGTAAGGGTGATTCATTATAGTTGTTGTTTATAAATTAAAAATACCATCAAAATCCCAAGTCATGCATCTGTGTTATGCACCCACATGTAAGATATGAGAGAAAAAGAAATATCTGCTTCTTTCAGATAAAAGTGGATGACTATTGCATTTCATTTTTCTTTTTAAAGTTGTTTCATATTGTTAACTTAAATCCAACAAACATCCATTAAATTATTGCTTCTGTCAGACCCTCGGAAATTCCGTACAGACATATCTCATAGGAACAAAATGACATTTAGACAATATTAGACTCTTTTATTTAGAGCTTATTGTTAAATGTAAGAGAGTGAGCCAAATTTTTTCTTTTAGAAAGGTATTATTTTGAGGAATTTTAAGTTCATTTTGAGGCATGAAAGGCTAATGTCCCGCTAATGGGAAACGTTACCTCTTTGAATTCTGATGGTTTGACTACAGAAGACATTCTATCATCACTGTTACTGTTGTTATAATTACCATCATCTTCATTACCGTAGCTAATATGTACAGAGCTCACAATTTTTCATATAATATAAATGCTTCACATGTATCATTTTATTTTCAACTGGATTAATCATTTGATAAAAGTGTTTTTATTATCATCCTCATTGCCATTTTGGAAATTAGAAATTCAGAATTTGAGAAGTTAAAGTAACTTTTTGAAAGTCTCACAGCTATTAAGTGACAGAGTCAAGAGTTTAAATGCTCTACAGTCCACATTTCTAACCCTTTGTGGAATGTGCCTGGCTGGTCCTCTGTCTCTCTCTTCTCCTGGGCAGCCTTGTGGCTATGCCAGTCATCATTGCCCACCCAGGAGCCTTCCTTCTTGTTGGACAACAGGATTTTACCACTG